TTAATTTGTTTGTAGAAATTAATTGAAACAAAACATTCATTATCTATAACAATAATTTAATTATTTATTAATTTTTCAATTAAATAAAGAATAAGAATGTATTTTGAAAATCATAACCAAACAATTTAATGAAGATAACATTGTCTGGTATTTCAACATTCATTGTCTCAAATTTGTGGATCAGATTTGCATAGATTTCATGCTTTAAAGATAAGCGAAAGACTCTCTTTCTGTTTGCCATTGTTTTGGTGAGGAATTGAAACAAATCATCGATCAATTGATTTATGTCTTTGGGATAATCGGTATACAAAGTCAATGAATCCAAACCAATGAATAGATTAAATGTCTTGAATCGCAAAATTGGTGAATTGACTCCAAGTGTCAAATGTGTCAATTTGGGTACTCTTGACAACCATTGCATCAATTTATGCGGACATTCATTGGCAAAGAAGTAGTCATTGAGTCGACTGCAGTCTATGTGACAATTGAGATCACCGATAGATATTTTGCTCACATTTGGCACCATTTCTAGCAATCGTGTCCACCGTTTGGCCGAACATTTGATTGAATTCAAACTCAATGACCGAAGACTAGTCATGGGTTTCATATAAGACATCATAACATTGGTGTCAAAGCAAAACTTATTGTAATACGAAAATCCAAGCCTTAAATCCTTTAAATCGGTTAACTGTGAAATGTTTTGGGCCAACTCTTGGGTCGAAATTCCATCCAAACTAATGGCGAGTCTTTGAAGTTGTTTGAATTGATTGCAAATTATGATAAACTCTTCAAACGGGATAATCAAATCGTATAAAAAGAGCGCTTCCAATTGAGCACATCTTATGGCTATAACTTGGAGTACATTTGTGTCAATCCATTCGGGGCTTGTTTTCAGGGATCGTAGGCCAGAGGGTATGCAATCAGCCATTAGTTGGTGTGTCAGTTGATACATGTGAGACATTTCTAACCTTTGAAGTGATGGCAGATCTCGGATGATATTCATGATGAATGTCACGTATAAAGAATCCAAACAATGAATCTCTATTTGTTTAACTTTTGCTAAGAGTTGTGTCCATTCGATGACTGTCCTGTCATGTGGTCTATCGATAGTAATGTTTGTGAAGTATAATCTCTGGAGTTGTGGTAAACGATTGATAATCACTTCCATTGTTTCGTAGTCTACGTTAACGTTCAAAAAATACAATGTCTTAACACTGATAAAGATCTAAAGCATTGAATCCAATACGATATACGGGTTGTGATCCAAAAGACTAAACTGATTTTTAATCAACGCTTTTGTGATATCAAATGAAACTAACTTTTGACTTAATTTTTCACCATAAGTATAGCCTCCGATGTGAAGGACTATATTCTCTGCCAATGCTTTTTGTGTGCATTTGTGGAACTGTTGGGACACTCTTTGCATTGAAAACAAATCATTGATATCTGTGTGTCTGAAGATCAGGAACAGAACGTCATCGTTGAGAACACGACTGGACTGACCATCACTTCCACTCATATCTTGTCTTTAAGTTCTTCAACAGTTGTGTCTATTATTTGATTACTTTTCCGAAAAAATGTTTGTTTTATAAAAACTATGAAATGACGGTTAGATTTGGTTTGAAATATTTAATTGTTTGTCAGAAAAATTTTATTTCTGTATATTTGGTAATAAATGACTAATTATATTTGTATAACAATTGAATTCATTTGAATGCAATGTTATAAACAGTTTTATATTTTGGTTTATAAAAGGGTTTTGTGTTAATCATTGGTTTCAATTGAATATTCTGAAAACTTTTATTATATTTATTTGAATTAATTATATTTATTAAAATTTATTAAAACATCCGAACCATTAAAAATAATTTAATTACAATTTAGTTTTTCAATTGAATAAATAATAGAAATGTGTGCTAAAACTCATAATCATATATTCTAATGGCAATCACATTGTCTGGCATTTCAACATTCATTTTCTCAAATTTGAGGACCAGTTTGTCATAGATTTCATACTTTAAATATAAGCGAAAGACTGTCTTCTTGTTGGCCACTGTTTTGGTGAGGAATTGAAACAAATCATCGATCAATTGATCCATATCTTCGGGATAATTGTTAAAAAATGTTAACGAATCCAATCCAATGAATAGATTAAATGTCTTGAATCGTAACTGATCTGTGCATTCACCGAGTGCCAAATGTCTCAATTTGGGTACTCTTGACACCCATTGCATCACTTTATGCGGACATTCATTGGCAAAGAAGTAGTCATTGAGTCGACTGCAGTCTATGTGACAATTGAGATCACCGATAGATATTTTGGTCACATTTGGCAACATTTGTGGCAATTGTGTCCACCGTTTGGCCGAACATTCGATGCCATCCAAATTCAATGACCGAAGACTAGTCATGGGTTTCATATAAGACATCATAGCATTGGTGTCAAAGCAAAACTTATTCTCTTCAAAGAATCTAATTTTTAAATGCTTTAAATCGGTTAACTTTGAGATGTTTTGGGCCAACTCTTGTGCCGAAATACCATCTAATACAATGTCAACTTTTTGAAGTCGTTTGAATTGATTGCAAATTATGATAAACTCGTCAAACGAAACAATGAAATCGCATAGAGAAAGCGCTTCCAATTGAGGACATCTTATGGCCATAATATTGAGTACATTTGTGTCAATCGATTGGGCGCTTGTCTTCAGGAATCGTATGCCAGAGGGTATGCAATCAGCCATTAGTTGTGGAGTCAGTGATTCAATGAAAGACACTTCTATGCTTTGAAGTGATGGCAAATCTCGGATAATATTCATCACAAATGTGACGAACAAAGGGTTCAAATAATGGATCTTAATTTTATTTATATTTGATAAGAGTTGTGTCCATTCGGTGACTGTCCTGTCCTGCGGTCTATCAATAGAAATTGCTAACAAGTATAAGATCTTTAGTTGTGGTAAACGATTGACTATTACTTCCATTGACTTGTAGTCGAGGGTAACGCTCGATAAACCCAATGTCTTAACACTGAGAAAGATCTGAAGCATTGAATCCAATATAAGATACGGGTTGTAATTCAAAAGACTAAACGGTTTTCTGGTCAACGTTTTCGTGATATCAAACTTTCGACTATATTTTGTATTATAAATATAGTCTCCGATGTAAAGGACTTTCTTCGCTGCCAATGCTTTTTGTGTCCATTCGTGGAACTGTTGGGACACTCTTTGCATTGAAAACAAATCAGTGATATCTGTGTGTCTGAAGATCAGGAACAGAACGTCATCGTTGAGGACACGACTCGACTGACCATTGCTTCCACTCATATCTTGGATTTAAATTCTTCAACAGTTGTGTCGATTATTTGATAACTTTTCCGTAGTTTTGTTTATAAAACCAATGTTTTATAAAAACAGATGAAACTATAAAATGACGGTTAGATTTGATTTTAAATATTTAATTGTGAATTAAATTATTGTTGGAAATATTGATTAAAATTTATACCAAACATTGTTAATAATACTGTATGTATTAAAATATTATAACTTTAATGTTGCTTTATTAAAATATAATTACTCTAATATCCCATAGACAACGCGCACCCAGTGTATAACGCGCATTTCCTCTACTGTATATGTCAAACTTATTAGTGTTGATTTGTTAGTGTTAGTGATTTATAAGTATTTTTAACAAACACGTGTTTATAAAATACAATTCAAAACAAAATATTGTAATTAATTGTGATTAAATAAATTATTCAATTATGCCTAAACGAAGAAAATCATATACCCACAATTATTTGTTTCTTACTATTTTACAAAAATTAATGATAAATATTGTTGCAATTTTTGTCAAAAATCAAGTAGTGAATCAGACTAAATCTTTCAGATTAAGATAGTATAAATGTATAATTAATGTCATAATTGCAATAAAATAGCCCAATTTTTAGTCTTAAAATATGTCAATTTTTCCCCGTAGTAAAAAACATGTAAATTACGTGCATTTTGTATTTTACAATGTATTTCAAAATTTTTCTTGTAATTTATTAAACTTACTTATTATAATTATGTTTATTAATCAACTAGAATATTTGAAAAATATTTTTTGTGCCATTTATTTTCAAACCATATATAACGCGCACCCAGTAGATAACGCGCATCACTAATTTTGGCAAGAATGTCACTTTTTTCAATAGATAACGCGCGCGTTGTCTATGGGATATTAGGGTAGTAATGATTTAAATATCCAAAAAACATATTCTAATTTCTCAATCTCTAAAAAATGAATTTTAAAAGTCGTTAAATAATTTTTCCTAATATTTGTTATAATTTACAACTGATATTTAAATAGAATTTATATTTTCTTTAATTCTGGATCATTTATAATTTGCTATAAATTATGGCATGTGCAATACTTGAATATAATACGAGAAATATGGTTAATTTGTGGATGGTATACAAGTAATGTCACTAGATGCCAATAGTGGTTTTATAATTTTTATAATATACAGTTTTGTATTTGAAGTATTCAATTTTTGTCCCCAATTTTACCCCCAATTAATTAAATACAATGTAATTAATATTAAATTTTATGTGACTGTTAGATCTAAATTGTGTTAAATTTAGTTAATATTAAAATAATTATCAAAATGTGTTACGAAATAATCCGTTTATTTATAAATTCTTAGTTTAAAAGTATAGATTAAAATTAAAAAATTAAATTGTAAACTTATATTATAATACAATTGTATTTTTTATTGTGCGAAACGATTTATCGTAATATTTAAAAATACTCACAAAATACACCATTTCTTTCGAAAATTACAAATAATATGAAAAATTAAAACTTGAAAACAATATCTGATGTAAAAATTAAATTTAATGAATAACAATAAAACGATAAAATTTATTATAACTATTTATAACATTATTGCGATATATATTGAAATGAAATTATCATAACTAATAACTAATGATTTCTAATAGAAACAATTGTCATAAATATATCTATAATAATGGTTTGTATCTCAAGTCGTGTGGAAGTCTTGAAGAGCTTTCTGTATATGCGTTGAGAGAGACATCTCTTCGCGAAGAAACGGATGTTTATAATCGTCGAGAAAAAAGCTAATCCTTTCCATATCTGGCGGACACTCTTTCGGCAGACAATCGCTATTTCTTTGCGTGAAATAAAAGCCTTTGTCTTTCAATAATCTATTAAATTATAGCAAATTTAACATAAAATCAAGTGTTAATTGTTTTAATTGTACTTTAATTTGAATGAATGTCATTCATGGTAAATATATACCTGTAAGTGGTTGGACTCAAATTAATTCTCATGGCTTCGCTACTGGACTCAAATTTGTTGGCGAGGGTTACCTGTGAGCCGAACAGACAGTACCTAATGGTTAACCAAAAAATATCAATCGTTAATTGGCTTTATTTTGGGAATAAAAATAGTTTTATATAGGTAATAAATATTGTATTCATAATGTATTGCTGGTGGTAATAATAGAAATAGATGACCTGGGCATTTTCACGCCTACAATTCCGGCCAAACAGTTTCCACTGTGGAGTCCGATTCGCATCTAATCATATAAAATGATAACTTATGTCATTAATTACAGAATTAACAGCAAATAATTGATTTCATAACTCATACGAGTTGTTATACTGTATATAGTTTTTTGATAGTTATTTCTAATTCTTTAGGGGTTTATACTTTTACTGTTGGATTAAGCGCTAAAATAAATGATAGCAAGAGTACGAGAGAGAGAGAGAGAG